TGTGCATGTATGTTACCATCTAAATTAATTCTTCTTGAACTAACCTTTTCTCTAGTTCCTGGTTCCCTTCTATTGGCCTCTGTTGCTTTAAAGTATCTGCATTAGTTTCTCTCCATTGAGGGCAACAAATGCTATCTAGTTTTTTATGCTGTATTACATTTAATGATTTACATATGTTGACTCATCCCTGCATCACTGGAATGAAACCAACCTGACCATGGTATATGACCTTTTGGATATGATGGTGAATTCAGTTTGTCAGTATTTTCTACAGATTTTTGCATTTATTTTCAATAAAAAGATTAGCTTGTAATTCTCTTTTCTTGTTGTGTCCTTGTCTGCTTTAGAGATGAGTATAATACTGGCTTCTTAGAATGAGTTTTTCAGTGTTCCTTCCCTTTCTATTAGGGAACCACTTAAGGAGTGTTGGTATTAGCTCCTATTTAAATGTGTGGTAGAATTCAGCAGAGAATCTGTGAAGACCTGGACTTTTCCTTTTTTGGGAGACTCTATTGCTACTTCAATTTCATTGCATGTTATAGATCTGTTTAGATGATTAATATCTTCTTGGTTCAATTTTTAATGGTATTATGCATCTAAAAATTTATCCATTTCTTCTAGATTTTTCAATTTATTTGAATATACATTTTCAAAGTAGTACTTGAAGAGTCTCTGAATTTCCTTAGTGTTTGTTGTTACTTCCACTTTTTCACTTGTAATTTTATTAGTTTGGGTCTTTTCCCTCTTCATTTTAGTTAAGATTTGTCAGGGGTTTGTCAATCTTGTTTAGTTTTTTCAAAGAACCACCTTTTGCTTTTTTGGATTCTTTACATGGTTTTTTGATCTCTGTTTCATTGATTCAACTCTTGTTTTGTTAATTTCTCTCCTGCTTAGTTGAGACTTGCTTTGTGACCTAAGATATTGCCTATTTTGGAGAAAGTTCTCTGGATTGCTGAGAAGAATGTATTTTGTGCTGTTGCAGGATCTGATACACTGTAGACCTCTGTCAGGTCCATTACATCTGTGATGTCATTTAATTCTAGAATTTCTTTGTAGATTCTTTATCTGGATGACCTATGTATTGGTGATAGAGGATTATTAAAATTAGTAATTGTTATTTCCTTCAGAGGTATTGCTCCTTTTGTTAGTATGAAGTGACCTTCTTTGTCTCTTCTTACTAATTTAGGTTTGAAGACTACTTTATCTGATATAAGTATTGCTACTCCTACCTGTTTTCCTGGACCATTTGCTTGGTAAGTCTTACACCCTTTCACCCTAAGGCAATGTTTGTTTTTGTCTGTAAGGTGGGTTTTTTGTAAAGAGCACATTTTTGTGTTTTCCATTTTAATCCAGTTTGCCAATCGGTGTCTTTGATAAGGCAGTTGAGTCCATTAAGATGCAGTGTTAATATTGAGAGGTATGAGGTGATTCCTGTCATTTATTTGTTTTTGTTGAGGATTTGTGTGTGCAGCTAATTTTATGGTACTCTCTGATTACTTGTCTTGAGGTTTAATATTTCATGGTTATGTTTGCTTTCATCTTATTTGTGCAGCATGTTTTTCAGAAATTTCTGTAGTGGTGGTTTGGTGGCCATATATTGTTTTAGTTTTTATTTATCGTGGAAGACTTTATTCAGAATCTCCATCAATTTTGAATGTCAGTTTTGTTGGGTAGAGTATCCTAGGACTGAAATTGTTTTTTTGTTTTTTTTTTTCAGTGCTTGAAATACCTTGCTCCATACCCTTCTTGCTTTTAAGGTTTCTGTTGAGAAATCTGCTATTATTTTGATGGAATACCATTATATGGTTATTTGATTTTTCTATCTTATAGTCTTCAATATTCTTTACTTTTTCTCTGTGCTAGTTGTTTTAGGTATAATATGTCATGGAGAAGTTCTATTTTTGGTCATGTCTGTTTGGTATTCTGGATCCTTCCTATACCATAATGGGCATTTCTTTCGCACAATTTTGGAAGTTTTCTGCTGTTATTTTGTTGAATATATTATGCATACTTTTGGTTTGGACCTCTTCTCTTTCTTCAATGCCCTAATTGCAGATTTCATCTTTTGGTGGAATCTCATAGTCATTGTGTATTCTTTTCCCTGCTCTTGAGTATTTTGTCTAATAATTTTTCTTTATTATCTATTTTATCTTCAAGCTTTGAAATTCTCTCTTTTACTTGTCCTGGTCTGCTGGAGTGGCTTTCAACTGTATTTTTATTTGATTTAAGGAAATTTTTATTACCAGAATTTCTGTTTGATTATTTTTTCTGAGTCTTTCTATATTTTTTTAAAGTCCTCTTTCATATCTTGTGCTGTCTTCTCTATTTCTTAGCTCTTTTTAAATAATATCCTAATTTCATTTTGAGTTTCCTTAAAATGCTGTTAAGTGCATTTAGTTGTTTGTCTTTTCAAGTGATTTTATCTGTATTCACTTGATATTCTTTGAATTGTTTTTAATATTTTCTTTAAGTTCCTCTTTAATTTCCTCTTTAAGCTCCTTTTAAAGTCCCTCATTAAGCTACCCTTTAAGCTCCTTAAACATTATTATCATCATTCTATTGGCATCAGCTACTCTGGATTAATTTCCTTCAATTTGCCAAATTATCTATTGAGATATCATTAGTCTTTTGAGAAGCTGTTTTTCACTGGCTTTCTTCTTCCCATGTATCTATTTTGTGCTTTGCTCCTCTATTATTGATCAGCAAGTTGGGGGTTTTAATCACCTGTTATCTTTACCTTGACTTAATTTCTATACTGTATCTGGCTTATTCACTAGCTAGGTTGTTGTACTATTTCTGTTCCTTGCCTTAGAAGTAAATTCAGCAGTAACAAATTCACAAATTCAATGCCAGTCCAGTTAGTTATATAATATATAGAAAACTTCATAGTGATATTATCTATAAACAGTGGGTATTGGAGGGAATGACATCTGTGTGGATATAGATACTTACATCATTAAAAAGATGGCATTAGAGGAAGTGGCATAGAGTGGGTATGGGGTAAGAGAGGCAAAGGGTGTGAGTTGTGGGGGCCACAAGGTAATACGGCCCTAAGATGTGTTAAGGTGCAGTTCAGTTATTGTGTGGGAAGGTGCAATTGTTAGAGATTGCAGAGGGATATGCAAGATTGGGGTAAGGTGTAAAGTTGGTATTGTAGCTGTTCAGTGAGTGGGAGTGTGGAAGAGGTAGGGTAGTGGGTGAAATGTAGGGTGAGGTGATAAGAGGAGGGTGGGAAGATAGGAGGGGAGAATGGAAGAAAGAAGGAAAAGGGGAAAGAAGAAAAAGTGGGTGAAGATTAGGGCTAAGCAAATTGATATTGACAGATGGTAGAGGAAATAGGTGACAATAGACTTTAGTACCAAAAAGGGAAAGAAAATGAAGACAGTGAAATAAAAAGAGTAAAATAAAAATACTAATAAAAAAATGAAAAATATGTTCACTGAAATTTCTGGACTTTTTCCCCTTGATTTCAAAACCAGGTGCTTGGCACTTTTGACAGGAGCTTTCTCAATGTCTCTGTCTCTTCTCAAGGTTGATATGCTAGGCTGTGAGGCATGTATTTTGCCCCTCCTTATTGAAAGCTTTGGGGGGAGGTGGCTCAGGGATTTTGAGCCTAGTTATTCCTTGGTGGGATGCAGGCTGTTTCTCTGAAATGGTCCAGCCAGGAGTGGGTTTGTGAGCAGTTGCTGGTCACTTTTGCTCACAGGGCAAGATACACTTTTTGTTCACTCACTTTTCAGCTCACTACCAGATTCTCCAGCATGGTAAAATGTGCTGCTGATTTCACCAGTCAGTAAGTGTGTCCCTCCACTGCTACTTAAGCTTTGGCAGCAAAGGGTTAAGCCCATACCCAACAGGAAATGACAGCTCAGCATTGTGCCCCATTCCTACTCCTCCCATGAATTAAGTTTAGCAATCTGTCCTTCAGTCACTCTGGGAGGTCAGTTCAGAATTTCACCCCACTTCCACCAGATACAGGTGAATTTTGCCATCTCTTTATCTCCAGTTTTGTTCAAGGTGGTGCAATTTCCCCACCAGCTGCGCTGAACTATTTGGTTCCTTTGAGAGCAAGTGATGTGTTCCACTCATCTGACAGGGTCACAGATTATTCTAATGGAATTGGGTTAGTTCCAGCAGGGTGCAGGTAGGTTGGGTCCAAGGTTTGTGTCCACGTAATATACTGGTCGAGGATGTCACAGATTGTAGCTCAATTCTAGTTCTGTAGTCTTCTGCTTTTTCCAAAAAGAAAAAAGGAAGTGAGAACAGAGGGGGTAAAATAGAAGAAGAAAAAGGGAGAAATGGCTTTTCCCCAGGCAAACCAGTGGGTTTGCTGGTCCCAGCTTGTGGCAGGACCTACCAAGCTATTATGTGCAATTAAAATTTTTTGTAAGGGTTGAACATTGAATTTTATGTGGTACTGTAGTTAGCTAAAAATCAGTCACCTGATTCTTTCTATCACAACTCAGAAGTAGTTTTCTGAAAACGTGGAGCTTAGGGTATCTGCATTCTTTACCTATCCACCATCTTGGAATCCTCCCCCACCCATAGCCTTTTTTTCAACAGAACAATTATTTAAAGATAGCTTATATGCTATGATCTGCCCTAAATGTTTCAGTTCATGACTATTGCTGATATATATACTTTAAGGTCCTTCACAAGATTTTCAACTTATTTATAGTTCTTGGACATACAAAGATCTTTTTTCTTCCTGAACTTGTACCCATATAGCATAATTAGGATTTTTCTAGTACAATCAACAGTAGTTATATGAATTTAGCACATCCTTAAATGGCTTTCAATTTCCCCTAAATCTATTTATTTCTAAGCATTCAGTGAATTGAGATAATTTCATTTCTCTCTTCCTTTCAACCTTCCTCAATGTTTTCCATCAATCTTATAATAATAAATATAGAGGAATTTCATATAAATGTATGGTTTTATTTTAATTCCACTCCAACAGCTTTCAGCTTATAATACATAAATAATGTTAATTTTATATTTATTTATTTTTATTTCAGGAGACATCTAATGAGGACATGGAAAAGGAAAATGCAACTTGTGTGACAAAGTTTGTTCTCACAGGACTTACACAACAACCAGAGTGGAAAATGCCCCTGTTCCTGGTGTTCTTGGTAATATATCTCTTCACCATTGTAGGGAACCTTGGTCTCATTGCTGTCATCTGGAATGATCCTCATCTGCACATTCCCATGTACTTATTCCTTGGGAGTTTAGCCTTTGTGGATGCTTGTTTATCATCCACAGTTACACCAAAAATGCTGGTCACCTTGTTAGCCAAAAACAAGGTGATCTCTCTCTCTGAATGTCTAGTACAATTTTTTTCATTTGGAATCAGTGCAACAACAGAATGTTTTCTCTTAGCAGCTATGTCTTATGATCGTTATGTAGCCATATGTAAACCTTTACTTTATCCAGTGATTATGAATAATCGATTATGTACTTGTCTAATAGTCCTAACATTTATAGGTGGCTTTCTTCATGCTATCATTCATCAATACTTTTTAGTCAGATTAAATTTCTGTAACTCCAAAATATATCACTTTTATTGTGATATTTTACCATTGTTAAAGAATTCTTGTACTTATCCTTCTATTAGTTTTCTTCTGGTATATTTTTTGGCTGGTTCCGTTCAAGCATTCAGCTTTGTGACAATTCTTGCCTCTTATACATTTGTTATCTTTGCAATCATAAAAAAGAAATCTGTCAAAGACTTAAAGAAAGCCTTTTCCACTTGTGGAGCCCACCTATTTTCTGTATCTTTATACTTTGGTACTCTTCTCTTTATGTATGTGCGTCCTGCATCTGCACAAAGAGATGATCAAGATATTATGGATTCCCTAGTTTATACTGTCATAATTCCTGTTTTAAACCCAATTATCTACAGTCTGAGAAATAGGCAAGTCACAAATTCACTGAAAAAAAACTTGAAAGGAAATGTCTGGGGTTATTTTTCTTAACAAAACAGAAATTCATTAAGGTTAGATTGGGCAATATTTTATTTTGGTAAATATTTCTGCAACTACAAAATTTTTTATTTAAAAAAAAACTTAAAATGTTGTAAAAGTTTTCTTTGTTTTAGCATATGGTCTTTGTTTAGCCTAGGCTGATTTCAAACTTGCTGTGTAGCCAAGATTGATCTGTAATTTAAGATCCTCTTACATCTACCTCTCCATTGGCAGGATGATAGGATGCACCACCACATCTAGTTAAGGGCCAAGCATTTGATTCATATGTAGGTATTGCAAGGATGGGCTAGAAGTATGGTATTATGTGGTGGTCAGAGTCCTGTTCCTGGTTTTAGAAGTCCTTTGTTTTTGATGTAAACATCCTGGCTTTGAGGACTGGGTGGCCAGTTTGTCCTAGGCACTGCTACATTCCTTTTGTTGTTGGTGGTGATGGTACCACAACCTTGCACAACCATCCTGGTATGTCTTGATTCACAACTTCTGGAGATTTTTTACCTTCTGATTTTTCTGTTTCTCCCTCTTCCCTTCTGTACACTAACATTGCATTTTCTATGCCTGTGCTCAATCTGGGTAGCAGAAGACCCAATTCAATCTTACCCAGAAGTTCTTCTGACTCCCTTCAGTGCTCCTCACAGCTTGCATCCCAGTTTGTTTTTTACAATGGAATCATTAATAGCCTAAAAATTCCATTTAATAGTTTTACATGTCATTCAAAAACATAGGATTTTTTTTGCAGTACTGGGGTTTGAACTCAGGACTTCAAATTTACTAGGCAGGTGCTCTACCACTTGAGTCTTTCTGATAACCCATAAAAGTAAATTTAAATAACTATTCAGGAACTGCCACAATAATTGAAAAGAAAAGTGACTGAAAAATATTTTACAGGTTTTACATGTGCTTCAGAGTAGCTTATACATGAAGGACATGCTAAAATCTTGTTGATCCTGTGATCAGGACTTGGATATGATGTCTTTTTTTTAATTGTACAGCTTATTTATTAGTGTGTCAAACTTAAAATGTAATGGTTTCATATTTCAGAATGAAAAGTGTTTTGTGATTCATGGTTGCTAGTGACAAAAGAGACAGCTCTTTTATGATCACCTCCTGTTATACCACTGCACTTTTTGCTTCCCTTCTCTTCTCTCCCTATGCAATAGCTCCCTCTACTTTTTTAAAAATTCATTTATTCACATGTACATACATTGTTTGGTTCATTTCTCCCCCATTCTCCATGCCTCTACCCTCTCCCCTTTTCCCCCCTTGCTTCCAGGCAGAACCTGTTCTGCACTTTTCTATAGTTCCATTGAAGGTATGAAGTCTTTGAAATGCTAGTGTGCTAGGCTGTAGACTTACTTAACATTTACTCCATAGTGGTAATAAACTGTAGAGTTTAAAACAGACATATTCATAAATTCAGCTACCCATCAAAAATCCTTTACTTCAATTGATTTGAAAAATACTAAATTCTCTTTTTCAAGGGGTTCAACTCACATTAAACCAAGAGCAAAACAGAAATGGGAAAAAGGCATAATTGGGAAGGAAATTAAAATTTGAAGACAGGAATAGACTAACAGAACATGCTCTTTGCTCTCTATATTCCTAGGAGTAAGGAGAGGTCTTTCCCTGGCTACAGTGCCTTCTAAGAATCTTGTAAACTTTGATTTTTTGTTCTTGGATAATCTGACAAGCTTCATAAATCCAGAAAACAAATTGTATTTCATTGAGGAATTAAATTGGTGTTGGTGTAGAGAAGATATGAGAAGTGACAGAATTGGTAGAAAATTGCATTATTCTTTACAGAGATAAAAAAGGAAACAAGTATGGAAAGAGTGATATTTAAAAGGGTGATATTTATAGGAGTATACTGTATATGGCACTTACAATGAGGGATTTTTAAAGTCATAGTAATGCATTCTGCTAATGTTAAGCTATAATATCACATGTGGATGTTTGAAGAATAAGGGAAAGTGAGCAGGAGTTTAAATGTTATGTCCTTGAAATGCTGGGAAAATATTAGCATTCTGAAAACTCAATTATCTAGGTACAATGAATAATTCTGCTTTAAATGATCCTGAGCTTCCTCACTCAACACTTGAATTCTTTACAGATTCCTTCTGGTGTACTCAAGACCCTATTCTAAAACGTATTCATCTTTATTTGCAATACTTTTGTCATTCATCAGTTTTACCCAGCTATCAGGTTTTTTTTTCCTGTCCAAAATTGCAGTCAGATGCTTATTCTGTACAGAATTCTGATCAAGAATCTTAACAAATTGTCATTGCTATGAGACTACATGTATATGTGATATATAAATTTAGATCTGAATATAGAATATTCATGTTTCTTTTCTCATGTTTGTGCAGATTTTATTATATATACACAAAATATGCATATGAATATAACATTTAAATGTATATACTTTTTTCACCCTGCATTTGCTTACTCTGGTGCTATTTGTGTTCCTTTCCAATGAAACTGTACTTAACTCTGGAGTTTCTTCCTCTTTAATTGTCTAAATGGAACCTATGTTGCAGCTAAAATAAGTTTTGGCATACTTAAGTTCTTCAGGTATATCCCCTTTTTCATTCAGGGCATGCCACCATGAAATCCTTTCTTCAGTCCATTTCCAGTATAGTTACAATAAAGTAAGTATCTTCTTTTCTCAGTTCAATATCAAATGTTCAAGCTTCTATGACACATTTACTGATAACCTCAAAAAGAATAAGAAAGCCAAATCATTTGATGTATTTGGCATCTTCTTTAATCTGCTTAGCCCAATAATTCTTGTATCATTCTTTTTTTAACCAAAAATATCTTGTAGATTATATTTCAAAGTCTTACTAATCTTTCAATCTTTTAGAGTATTGGAAAATGACTAATACAGGTATAAAAGAATCACAATGTAAAAGAATTTGTGAAATGAATCTAATTGCACAAATATATACATAGCATATGACTTAAAAATCTCTAAAAGAGATTTTGACATGGACATTAGGGCTGCATGGCAATTTACCTTAAGTATCATACCTAACTCAAAGTATGGTCCACCCAATGAGATGAGTTCTTAATCTTCTGAAAGACAATGGCTAAAAAACATGAGGAGAAAGTTCTAACTTATGAGAAATAAAGGCTACAAAGTTTATAAGTATTTAAAATGAATATGACTATTCTATATTTCCAGAGGTCCTTTTTCTTAAATTAGAATACTTCATCCATCTTCTTTCTGTTTCTTGGACAGATACAACAAAACCCCAGGAAACAGTGAATGGAGCATAGCAGAGATGCTTTTTATTCTTTCTCTTTAAAGAATCCATCTTATTGTATATGTCTGATGTTTGGTAATTTTTGTTGCTGCATAATTTTCCCATTTTAATGAGATATTTCTATCAGTTACATTGCAACTATCTTCATTGTTATGAAACAAATATTATTTTGTTAATAAAAGAAATTGTTGTCTATTTCTTCTGCCATTTTAAAGAACTGTTTTCTTAATTTTCCTTTTCCTTGAATAAGAAGGTAAACATTTAGCTATGAGTATGTAACAGAATAGATAACCTGTGAAGTTTTCCTTTTATTTGGGTGATTTTAAACCATGCATTTATGGACTCCCAATAATTCACACTTTTGCATTCTTCTCTTATACACATTGTTGGTACATGGATCAATTCCTATGCTTTCATTAATCTTTCAGAACAACACAAGTACTTTACAATTTTTTGAAATTTGCCAAAATATCTAGTCTATCAAGGTTAATCCATTCTCAATTTTATTATAGATTTTTCTTCAGTAGCTATTAGGAAAAGATAAAATATATACTTGGCAAAGTCAACATTTTGGACATGAAATTGTTCTGGTTATTTTAAAAGGAAATTGTAAAATACGTATTTAATAGATGTTTAGTTGTAAAGAATATTACATAGGTTGGTCTTGTGGAGTGGCTCAAGTGGTAATGTGCCTGCCTAGGAATCATGATACCCTGAGTTCAAAATCTAGTACTGCCAAGAAAAAAAGGAATGTTTCATAGGTATTTCACCCAGTTGCTTGGAATACTACTATGTTGGAGTAAAACCAGTCTTTAGAAATACCTGCAACATAGATATTTCATTATGAAGCTGAATTTTTTACTATGGAAATTTAAAACATTCATAATTTTAGTCCCTGTGCATGCACATACACCCATTTTCTCATCGTTTTATAACACCTTTTTGTGCTCAGGATATTGCGGACTAAATTATTCCTGTGCTCAAAGAAATGGCATGATTAGGATTGAAGTCAAAACAAATTTTCAGTCAAAAGTAGAACAGTATTTCTCAAAGTCTGATAAATGGGCTGTGGAGTAATTTTATTCAGTTTGTGTAATAGTCATATGTAAAAATATCTTTCTTATGAGCATTAGTGGGTTCTTTTAAATTTTGGTTCTTACAATTGGTTGGTCATTAGAACATCATGGGGAATTGTGAAAACACGTATTAATTGGCTTCCTCACAAATTTATGATTCAGAGATGATAATGCTATTGGCTTGAGAGCACACAAAGGAAACCACTGATTAAAAAAATCAACAAATAAAATTTTTATTATTCAATGATATTTAGAATTGAGTCCATTTTTCTATCCTGACACTCAACAGATGAGTGTCCACTTGCACTGAGGATAGCCATCTTCTTTGCTTGGTCTACAAATTCAAATGGTTATTTCTTCTGAAAGCATTCTCACAGACACACTCAGAAATATAGTTTAAGAGGAAATCTCTGTATCCTGTGGCCCATTGAAACTTACATGAAAGTAGTATTAAAGTTGATTCTGTCATCTTGGCACATACTCATGTTTTCTTAAATCATATTTAATCTCCACATAAAAACAAGATGTGTGAGTCTCTTCAGCGATTATAACAAAATAACATAAATTAAATGACTTACACCTCAAAATGTTTATTTATTACAGGTCTGACTGTTGGGAAGTCTAAGAG